CGCCCCAGTATCACGTAGAATATGTGTGGATATGGGATTGCCAGTGTCATTTGTCAAAGACACAAAACCAACAGACACAAAAAGTGTAAATTCCTCCCTGATTACATCAGCATTTATATCAGTGGCCAAATCAACAACATCGGGTGATCTGGTGAAACTATGTCCATATGTGGACACAAATGCACTAGACACAAACGTTCCTGGTCAAATATCATAAGTTTCCCGATTAATAAACGTTATAACAACCACGGTTATTGCTTCCGAAGTTTATAGCACATCAACTCTAGTATACCAATAATAGATGCTCCTTTTAGGCGTGTGGAGAGTTTCTCGAAAATTCAAATTACGTAACAATACAAAGCTGCACTGGCGTTTATGTACACACATAGATTGTTTATTCTTATACTCGAGAATCTTCTATAACCTTCGAGAATAGGCGGGTGTTTCGCAATACATATTTAACTGTATAAGTTATGTACATTTCTAAATATAAATTTGATATAAACAAACATCGATATTAAAACAAATAATAAATCCGTCACAACTTTATCTTTTATGCAGATGTTTATGCATTACCTTTCTCTTCAGGTCTTTTCGGATTTTCTACACTGGCTTTGCTCCTAGTACCCATGTATTATATCCCTGTGGGCAATATGATCTTCAAAAATCCTGACGGCAACTTAGAGGACGCTATTGACGGATTTTACCAGATAGGCAACAACTGGCAAGTAGCAATGGGCGTCATAGGTTAGTCTTGTCTATTGATTATCATTAGGATATTGTTCTTTGTATTTTGAGCTTTTAGTAACAATCAATAAACATATGGTGCTAATGGTAAATAATATACTAAAGGTTTAAAGAGTGAGCAATACTGTTGGAAACTAACACATTGTAACGTTGTAGAGTTACAATGAACAACTATATAGTCTTTAGATAAGAAAATCTTCATTAAGTCCAAGCTTTCAGACTGGTTACAGCCTTTTATAAAAGGCCCTTCTGTAATCAGTCTGAAAAATTTTGGCATAATAAACTTTTTGTTCTTTTATTATTATCATTTTGTTTAAGTTTAGTGGTTGAAGCGTAATTTCTCTTATTTTAAAGTAAGACACTTAGTAGTGATTCGTAACACATAATGAAAATGGTTTCAACCGTTAAATTTTTAACCTCCAAATAGGAAGTGGGTTTATTTGATGTACACATTATTGTTGTATTGGGGCAACATTATCAATTGTAGTATGTGATATAAAACTTAGAGAGAAAACCAATAGATACAGTTTCCATTTGTTTATGGTATACAGAAGTACCCTACTATGGCCAAAATATATGGTTATCTTCGCTTTCTAGACTCTCGACTATCCGCAATGGTTGTCATTGCGTATGCTTTGTCAAGAGAGAACATGTAGCTAAAGAATATACATAATGATATAAATATTCAGGAAGACTAAGCCGTATATGAAAGTCGAGCGGTCAATAGTATACTTTGGTAAATCAAATTGAGCGAAGATTGACAGTCCATTAAGAAATAAAATATAGTTCAATTTAATGTTCGTTCAAAGTTTCCACAATTTCATTAAAGATGTGGATTTCATTATCTATCCGTATATATATATATAATGGACCGATTTGGATTATTTTGATCTGGTTTATGAATCTCTCAATCCCACCAACATACCATGAGAAACGTGGCCTTGGAATACGAAGGTTCCATATCACTAGAATTATTATGGAATATTCTCACACATTTGTTCAAATCTCAAATCTTCTGTGTACTATCATTGGCGCTTGTATTGTAAGTTTACATGCGTATTTTTTATTTACACATGATAATACAAATGTTATATAAATATATGTTACTTAAAGACAAATCTTTTGTTGCTCCAGGTCTATCTAAATTGCTGCCTTTCTAAAATGAATCTTTGTACATGGTAAATTGTATGTTTGAAATTAAGCACAAAGCTGCACAATGGGCATTTTGTGCTTTGCCTACCATGAGTATCGAAACCCAGTTCTATCGTTGTAATTCCGCAGACATACAGCTGTGCCACTGGGGGTGCAAATAGATGGGACATGATTGATGTGTAATGCAGTCTATATGAACATTAACAAATTCCTTAAATTCAAAATGTTTTTGAATGACATACTCCTTGCACATGAAAAACCCATATTTTGTTAAGTTCCTCTTGTAGCTACCCAAAGTTTTAACAGTTTTGTACAGCTGACTGGGGGGATATCAGTATTCTATGGCTACATATTTATATTTCCTTAAATTTCGGATAAAACCTTCTTGCTATTTTATATTGTTACGGCCCCCCAGTGGCACAGCGGTATGTCTGCGGACTTACAACGCTAGAAACCGGGTTTCGGTACCCGTGGTGGGCAGAGCATAGATAACCCATTGTGTAGCTTTGTGTTTAACTTCAAACAAACAAACAAAATATCGTTACGATAATTTATATCACTGTTCAACATACTTTTAGGAACCATTGTTAGTATTGCTTTTTTCAACTTTGCTGGGATAAGTGTCACCAAAGAAATCAGCGCAACAACAAGGATGGTGCTTGACAGTGTTCGAACCCTGGTCATCTGGGTTTTCAGCATGATATTTGGTTGGGAGCACTTCATCTGGATCCAGCTTATCGGTTTTCTCGTGCTTTTGGGCGGCATGTGGCTTTATAATGATACCACTGTTGGGGATTTTCTTATTAAGAAAGGTTTTATTAAACCAGATGATGATTTGCATCCTATTCTGACAGAAGAAGAAAAACCTCAAGCTACCAATGAAGAGAAAGGAACGTCTATAAATACCAACGGCTCTCTTCCACTTTGAATGTTCTTATAAAGAGAATACATTTTTATTTATATATATATATATATATATATAACGGATAAATGTTGGTGTCAGGCTAAGAAATAAACTTCTCATGGCACATCAACATAGTAAAGCCTGATATATCTCAAATAATAAAATGAGCCCCATTTTTGGATACGTCAGATAGTTTCGAAGGGGAAATGGGCAAACCAAATCTCGATGGAGAGCTAAAAATGTGTATTTTAAGAATCCGCCGGTTGTAGTTTGTTCCCATAGCCAGTTTTTCTATATTCTTCCGTTTCTATGGTAAGCTGTTTGGACATTTTGTAGTTCCCTTGAAAGTTTATAATGTAGACATTGGGTATATGTGAGGTTTGGTCAGTGTTGAATGGTAGATATTTACACGATAATACTAGAATTTGTCAGGTTAATGAAAATCACTTATATTATGTTCGAGAATCCTTTCTATTTGTGATGCCTTAGCGAAATCTCTAATGAATGACATCAACACAGCAATATGAAATGAATATCACTTATAAAATGGTAATTTGCTTTTAAAATAAATAATTTAAAACTATTATACGAACCAAAACTTATGATAGGCAATTTGAATCGTTTTGTATGGAATGATATTTCGTGATCTATTGTAACCATTCCGGTATACATATATAAAAAAATAGTGATTGTTGCTGCAATGGAAGTTCAAATACCTTGTGTTAGAATAATTATAAGTAAATACAAATCTCATCAGAAGGATAATGTTTATCTGTGTATGTTGACACACTATAGAAAAACAACGGCATAATTAATGTTTTAAAGTGTTTATTCATCTTATACAATAGTTGGAATTATTCCATGCCCAGTTCTAAATGTGTGTTCCACGTTTATGTCTAATTGTTTAAATATATTCATACATGCCATCTAATAATCCAAAAACCTTAACGCTCTAATATATTTAACCTTATCAATAACATCGACATACATTTATAGGTAGATTGTCTTAATATAGAATCTAAACCAAGCTCTGCACATTCAGCTTTGCAACTGCTCTCATAGCATGTCCAAATGTTGTACATATTCAAGTTAGATTGCCATTGAATAAATACACGATCTCTAAAGTCATTTTCTAGCTTGTGATGTTAGTGAATCTTATTTTTGCACGAATAAAAAATCGTTTGTGTATGCTTCGCGCTTGGCTTGTTAGTAGAATTGAAACGACAGCTACGGTGGTGTTCTTATTTAATCTCTTTCTCTGTTATAAAATCAACGTCAGAACGTTCTTGTGCCAAAGAATCGTGTAGTTTGTCCCTCTTTATCTTAGCATCATTGATAAACCTTACAATACTCACGGGATTAGCTTTGAAAGGTTTCTCATGGCTGTTTGTTTTGCATATTATGCATATGTTAAATAATTAGAGACATATTATTGGAGGTTTTAGCCACTCGGGACTTTCACAGAAATGTCCAGATTACATGATCTTACATTAACCGCTAGGTTTGAATATTTTATCTTTAGACTTAACACTTACCATTTATCTGTTTGTTCTTTCAAAAACACATAGAATGTCCTAACAACATACATAAAATCATTATGTACACGTATTGGTTATATGTTCTTTACACTTACATACTCTATTAAAAAGTATTTATACTATTATACGTAGTACTTTAAATAGAAGTCTGAAGAATGGAACATTATGACACTTGTGCATAACATTGTTGCAGATCAGCATGAAAACATATAGCTGTGTCGTTTACAAAATATGCCTTGGGAAGTGATGATATCAGTGAACAAATTTAATACTTTGAATGCTGAAGGCCAAAAGCAGTTTAATTTATCTTAAAGCTTGAATAATATGATTTTATTGAAACTATTATACAACACGTGATAAAATAGCATCATAAGAATCAATAATACGTCTTGAAAAAGAAAAGACTACAGCTGTCATCTGGAACTTATAGGAAGAATTATCATGCAACCAGTTTCGTGAAATAGTTTCTCATACAAAGCATTTTTGTATTAAGTTCTGGTTCAGAAATGCTTAATTATATACAGGATTAACCAAATGTTAATCTGTATTTGTAAACCATCAGTGGCAAGCAGACACTTGTTCTAAAATTATTTTGCAATGAATATCCAGATTAGCAATTTGCAAATGACGCTAATTATAATTGGTTGTTTCTGTACTGATGCCAATCATGGGAACTTTCATTTGAGCCATCATGGACTAATATATCATAAATAGATGTGATAATACAGCATAATAAAGGATATTCTCATTAAATTGACAAAATCCATTGTAATCATGGAAATGGCTGCATACAGAAAAAACAAATTACCAGTGACCACGTGAAACTTGATTCTTAAAGTACACATTATTAGCTTTCCAACATGTTAAGTGTGCCCATTTTACTTTCCGGATTATAAAGTTCTTTAAATATGGCTCTTTTTGGATGAATTCGCACAGCTCAACATTGGTTTTTTCCCCCGAATCCCTTCCAAGTTATATTGATGGATTTATAGAAAGCAAACTGACATCAAAAACAGCGACTTTTAACAGTCAAAAGTATTTGACATCTAAAAATTTAATTGATTTAATGTTTGTCAATAGTATGTCATAAGTTTTAATCACATTTTATGAATATAGGCTTCACGACAAAGAATAGTTAAGGTATTTTCAGCTATTGTTTCTTCTGTATAAACAGCTCTAGAGAATTTTCCTGGTAATACATGGAAATATAACTGCAGCTGTTACGAACTTTTTCTGATTCTAACTTACGAATTTCACTGCGAATTAATTTTGAACTTTATAAATTACGTTTTTTTTTCTCTTATAACATGTTAGTAAAGAATATTACTTAAAACCTTCTTGTGACAAGTAACTAAACTTATAACATGTTAAGTAAAGAATATTACTTAAAACCTTCTTGTGACAAGTAACTAAACTTATAACATGTTAAGTAAAAAATATTACTTAAAACCTTCTTGTGACAAGTAACTAAACTTATAACATGTTAGTAAAGAATATTACTTACAACCTTCTTGTGACAAGTAACTAAACTTATAACATGTTAGTAAAGAATATTACTTACATCCTTCTTGTGACAAGTAACTAAACTTATAACATGTTAGTAAAGAATATTACTTACAACCTTTTTGTGACAAGTAACTAAACTTATAACGTGACAAGTAACTAAACTTATAACATGTTAGTAAAGAACATTACTTACAACCTTCTTGTGACAAGTAACTAAACTTATAACATGTTAGTAAAGAATATTACTTACAACCTTCTTGTGACAAGTAACTAAACTTATAACGTGTTAGTAAAGAATATTACTTACATCCTTCTTGTGACAAGTAACTAAACTTATAACATGTTAGTAAAGAATATTACTTACAACCTTCTTGTGACAAGTAACTAAACTTATAACATGTTAGTAAAGAACATTACTTACAACCTTCTTGTGACAAGTAACTAAACTTATAACATGTTAGTAAAGTATATTACTTACAACCTTCTTGTGACAAGTAACTAAATTTTATTCAGTTAGTATAGACAGTGATAAAGTAAAAACAACAATATTTTAGTTTGTTACCACCTCTGTGACAAGTAACCAAACAATTTTATTCGGTCAGCATTCACAGTGATAAGTTAAAAATACATTTTAACTTGTTACCATCTCCTTGTGTCAAGTGACTAAACAATTGTATTCGGTTAGCATTCACAGTGAATAGTTAAAAAAAACACACTTTAACTTGTTACCACCTCACTTGTGATAAATAGCTAAATAATTTATTCGGTTAGCATTCACAGTGAATAGTTAAAAACACTTTAACTTGTTACCATTTCCTTCTGATAAATATTTAACAATTTTATTTGATCAAAACAATTGATCTTTTGTAAGTACCCTTAATGATAAAATACAAAACAGTTTTCATTTAGTTGGTAAACACAGTAATATGTAATTACTAAACAGTTGTTCTACTAGTAAGAATGATTATTGAAATAAAATTTAAATACAAGTACTAGTAAAGTTAGTTTAAGGCAGATTGTATCAGGAAAAGATGGTGGAACAATCACCATCTAATATACAAATAAAAATTACGAATTTCTGTCTTACTGTGCATGCAGTCTATAAGACGTCGATAAAGGGAGCCATTAAGTTCCTCTCGCTCTAGTTACCTACCAGAATCAATTATTTAACAAAAGTGTCACATGCACTTTTTGTGTGAAAGATTTCTATAAATCAGAGCATATTGTGTAGAAAAAAAACTAATATTTTCCACTGGAAAGTCTGGTGATACCTCAAGGATACAACATGCCTTATAAATAGTTATGTGAGTAGCACTTGCATCTGGAATAAAATGATTCAGAATTATAGCAAATATTGATTTGCTTTAAACACACTGAGAGTTCTAAATTAAAGTTTTTGTCTTTGATTGTGTTTTTTGTTTGAAATAAACATTATTTCACTGTATTGTACATAATGTCTCTCGTTTTTTGTTTGTTTTTTAAATGAAACTCAGTCAAGTTTAAAATAATTCAATCGATGACTCCTGTTATTCTCGGATCCTATCCGATTAATCTAAAGAAAATGAGAATATCAAAAAGCTATAAAAATAACTTTTTAGAGCTTACATTCTAATATAATTTTGATACTAAAAACAAATCATTTTGTTTGTTTGTTAAATTTCGTGCAAAACTACCCTAGAGTCATCTGCGTCCCAATTTTGAAGTGATAAACTAGAGGGAATGCAGCTAGTCAATACCACCCACCGTCAACTCTTTCGCTACTCTTTACCAACGAATAATGGTATTGTTCATCACACTATAAGATCCCCGCGCCTGAAAGGGCGAGCATGTTCGAGGACGAGTTTCGATTCCCCAGACTGTGATTCGAGATCCCTAATCACTAGGTTATGCGAAACTCCTTCAACAAATTAAAAACAACAATTCTTTTTTACACTAATAGTCTAAATTCTTAGTTTCAAAATCTTCTTGTACGATTGCCAGGTCTTTTAAAACCTACTTACCCCTTTAGTTACTAATAATAATCTCTCCCCTTCTGCCAATGAGTCAGCAGTAAGTTTACCGACTTAAAACGCTAAAATAAGGAGTTCGATTTCCTATGGTGGACAAAGCGCAGGTAACCCATTTTGTACTTTTCGATAAAAACATGCAAATAAACAAACAGATAGTAAAAATGTACTGGAAGTAGGTCTTAATACTATATGTAATTCGAAAACGAAAAAAAAAGGAATCAAACTACGTTTTTACTCAATTACTTATTGGTTTATTCTAGATTGTTAACCTAAACTGATTTATGTCGAACTGATTACGTAAAGGGATAACCTGAGTTTGTGAAAAGTTTATAGTTACTTGAATCTCATGAGCGACCTCTGGTTAATTTGAATAAATACATATCAATTTAAGCAGTTCGACAAATAAAACACCCCAGGAATTGATGGAATCTGACAAATAATATCAATTTTCATTATTTTTCACAAAAAATATGCCGCTTTTTCAGCTATTAGTCATCAATATTTCAATTATTTCGTCTTTAATGAAACACTTTTAAAAATTAGGTTGATTATATACGAGGCATCAATGAGTTGCAGAATACAATACGTATTTGAAAGGAAATGTAAGTTCATTGGTTACTTCAATACGTATCTCGAATGAACCTGAAATTCATTGATTAATCTAATATGTATCTCCAAGCAACCTAAATTTCATTGATTAGTCCAATGTGTATCTTAAAGGGACTTCAAATTCTTTGTTGTTGTTGTTATTCCATATGTATCTAGAGAGTTAGTTCAGTCCGTATCTTGAAGGAATATAAACCTTATTGGATAGTACAGTACATATCTTGAGGAAACTGAAATATTTTGGTTAGTTTCATACGTATATAGAAATAACCTAAACTTCATTGGTTATTTCAATAAGTTCCCCGAACGAATTTCGACTTCGTTGATTAGTTCAATACGTATATAAAGGACTTAACCTTAATTAGTTAGTTCAATATGAATCTTGAAAAAAAAACAAATTTTAATTAGTTGGTTCAATACGTATCTATAAAGGACTTATCCTTAATTAGTTAGTTCAATATGAATCTTGAAAAAACTCAAACTTAATTAGTTGTTTCAATACGTATCTATAAAGGACTTAACCTTAATTAGTTAGTTCAATATGAATCTTGAAAAAAAAATTAATTGGTTAGTTCTAAACGCATCGTGAAGGGATCTAATCTTGTTTGGTTAGTATAATACGTACCTGGAAAAAACTCAACCTTTATTGGTTAGTTCAATACATACCTGGGAAAAAATTTAACTTCATTTCTTAATTGAATACGTATTTTAAACGAACCTAACCCTAATCATTTAGTTCAATATATGTCTAGAAGGAACCTAAACTTCATTTGTTATTTCAAAATGCATCATACCTATCTTAAAGGGACCAGAAATTTATTGATTAGTTCAATACGATCTTCGAAAGAACCTCAAATTCACTGGTTAGTTCAAGACGTATCTTGAAGAACTTTAACTCTACTTGGTTATTTTAGTACGTATCTCAAAGGAAACTAAACTTCATTGGTATCTCTGAGGAAAAGCAACTTCATTAGTTAGTTCAAGACGCATTTAGAGGAACTCCAATTTCATTAGTTTGCTCAATACCTATCTCAAACGAACGCCAACTTCATTGGTTAGTTCAATACGTAACTGCAATGACATTCAACTTCACTGAAATTCAACAAGACATATCTCGTGGAACTTCCACTTGTTTGTGTTTATGAGGGACCTTTCCTTAAGTGGTTTGTTTTAAACATATCTCTAAAATGCGTCATTTCCATTGGTTAGTTCAATACGTATCTTGAAAAACCCAAACTTCATTGGTTAGATCAATCTAAGGAACTTCATTGGTTAGTTCATTACGTATCTCGAAAGATCTTAAACTTTAGTCGTTAGTTCAACACGTATGTTGAAGGAAACTAAATTTCATTGGTTAGTTCCAAACGTACTTAGAAGGAACCTATACTTTGCTGGTTATTTCAATACATTTCTCGAAGAAACCTCTACTTCATTGGTTAGTACAATACGTATCTGAAAGAAACCTGAACTTTAATGGCTAGTTCAATACATATCAAGAAGGAACCTCAACCTCATTGGTTTATTGATTAGTTCTATACGTATTTATAATGAACCTAAGTTCATTATTTAGTTCAATAGGTATCTAGAAAAATGCTACACTTCACTAGTTTGTTCAATATGTACTTTGAAGGAGGCTTCATAAGTGGTTGAAACATCTTTGCTTTGTGATTCATACATGTGGTTGTTGGATCTACTTGTGTATGACGACCCACACAATTTGTGCAAGGCGACCTTAGTTTTGCCTGAAAGAATATCATTCTGTAATGACCACAATACACACCATCCTTCCTCATGTCACTTACACAGAAGTCCTTTTGGATTTGGATTCTGCACAACGGTGTCATTGCATATGCACTTTGTCAGTGTTTTCATACATATGATGCAGTTTTTAGCATCGAACAAACAAGCTTTTTTTTCTAGTGGTTCTGAATCCATCTTTCACCCGTGTATGTAACTTCCTGATTAACCAACCTGAAAGCACAACAGATATAAAAATCCATGTTAACTAATTCACTGCAATCTAGATTAAGGTTCATGTTAAGTTAGTTTGATCAAGCCATTCCTAATTTTAATAAGCAGCAAATAAGGTGAAAGAAATATGCAAAAAGTCACTGAAATGAAATGACTGGTAATTAATCAGTATATATAAATTTACTTGGCATTATTCTAATATATACACAAAAGCAATTTCTTGAGTTAGATATAATGTATATTATACATACAATTATTTCTTCCACATACTGTTAGTCTTCCAAACATTGAAATCTTTATCATATCACTGCAATATATATATAAAAAGCCAGTCTTCCTTCAACCGTGTTATATATATATATATGTGTGTGTGTGTGTTAAATAGTTCATTAAAACACCTATAATAAACCGTGTATGAGTTGACATGAAATGTTGGACAGTTAAATACTTCAAACAACACATCAGTACAAAGTTTGTTAAGATATCACAAGAACTGATGATGTTATTGCAGATTTAGTGATTAACAGCTTTTTGGTGAAATTTTTGACAAGAGTACCATGTAGATATCCATGTTTAATAACATGTAAAAATGGGTTTATTTTTTTCACAACCATTTTTATAGACTTAGGAATATAGAAATATAGTTGTGCCTTGTTCTACCTCAAACAATGAAGTATTATAAACAGTGTTAGGGTATAAATAGAAAAACAAAATCATGTCCAGAAATGGCATATTTCATCACAGTGTCAGATTAATCATATGAATAATACAAATTATGTCATACAGCATTGAAAACCATTATATAAACTTCATTTCTGTACCACTTGTTAAGATATCACAAAAACTGACAGATTTATTACAATTTTCATGATTTTCGCTGTGACGTTCCGCAGCACACCTTTTTACCTAGGGTACCTATGAATATTCAAGCATAAATACATGTGAAAACGGGTTATTTTTTTCACAAACATCCATTTCGTACTTCTAGCATACCACGGCACTATAAATAGACACGATAGTAGGAGAGAGAAGGGCTGCATAAAGGTTTATAACTACGGATGTGAATTGATAAACATAAAGGAGCGATACATGCAAATAGGCATCCGATTAACAGCTTTTGACAATATCCAATTAATGCTCAATTTTGGTTTTGATTTCGTAAATTAACATAATTAAACCAGTTAGATGAAGGACTTATTTGTGGACTGGCTATGCAATGTTACTTAATAAATCGTAATAACACATGGAAAAGTCCAAAATCAGTTCTCTCCGGCAGTTCTAAAGGTCAGCTGAATCTGTGATAGTGGGAAGAAGAATCGATATTGTTTATATCGATTAATAGGATTTTCTATACAAAATGATCTCATTTACTTCTTTCTTTTACATACACTCAGCGATGAAGGAATACAGACTTCCCGATGTGTCAAGTGATCGTCTAGTGTGGAAGAGGCAAGTTTTCAAAACTTATATATAATTCACATATCCGAAATTCATTTGCTTCACAAAATTATATTTATTTATACATTTTTTCTGACTTTTACTGGTATCTGCTAAATGGTCCCAGAAGGAAGATTATATTTTTTCGTTAGAAATTCTGTAATTAAGAGAAATAAAAGTATAATGCAGTTTCTACAATATACAATATATCGTTTAACCCTAAATCACATGGACCCACAAACATTATGAACACGTTCAATAAGAACATTTAAAACATACTGGATGAGACAACAAACAACCTAAACAATAGAGATAAAGTAAGGGTATGTGTTCTTTCAAATCATCTGGATAAACCAATAAGTACATGCTTACAGAATAAGAAACTTTTTCACCTTAAATTAATAAATTCATAAAATTTTAAAGGGTCA